AGCATTGAGAGAACATATGAAAGGGAACTTCTCGGTTACGTATGTAACCTTGGTTCCCTGAATGTGTAATGAATGTTCCATGACTGTATAATGAGAACCACTATGGATGATAAGTTCACTCTGCCTTCAAGTTATAAAATTTTTTTTTTTATTTTTTATTCTAACACTACAAAAGAGTTAAGGGGCGAGTTTGTGGATATAAAATCCCTGTTTGCTCTTTCCCTCCCCTGGATCAAGTGTTTATTAAACAATGCGAGAGGAATTAATTTTAAAGATGTTTATCGTGCACTATGGTTTTGGCACTTTGTGCTACCAAGCAATAATTTGCCCGACAAATTACTATTTCTTTCAGCTCCGCTGCCGTGTTGAGCTGAAACAAATAAGTGGATGACCTCACGTATAAGAGTATTTCTTATAGCGAGCATTCTTATTGAAAGCTATAACATAGTGGCTCGGGCTGTAGAGTGAGCAGATATGGAGCCAGATCGGCCTCAAAAATAACACATTTGCAAAACAAAATTCATAAATGCACAGCACAATTTACATTTACAAAATCCGATTCGTAAATTCAAAACGTAATTCATAAATACACAAGTAAAAGCATAAATATTTCCCCAAATGCTCACACAAATGCATCTTACCTAAATAAATTTAAAATGTTTACACAAATATGTATATATCAAGTTCTTTAATTAATTTCCATCACACATTTATGAATGATGTTACATGTATTTATGGATCGTTTAATCTGCATTTGCAAATCGTCAGATGTGCGTGGACTGCTTTGAATTTGTGTGCGGTATTTTTGAGGGCTTCCTGGTAGGTTAAGATTCATAAATACCTTTTTTTGGAGGATGTTCCGTTCAGCCAATCGCGGTGAGCTTTTAATCCACCAATCAAAACACTCTTTACTGCAATAACTTTTGATCAGGCATTAAAAACAGCTATCACCACCTAAGGGAGATTTCGAACACACACAATCGAAGAGATTTCAGCACGGAGGATGAAAACCACACTCAACCAGTGAGTAAAATCGTTTTTTTATCTGATGGCATTTTCTTATGATTAAAGGTTGTTGTTATAGAGTATACTATATCAATATACACTTCGAAGACTCTCAATTTGGTTGGTGGGGAGTGCAAACACTCGCGTCCCATACACCGCAAGAGCCCGAGTGTCTCTGTGAACAGAAGCACAGACGAACCAAACCAGCAGGAGGCAGTGTTATCATCTTTCTACTTTTATTCTAAACACACAATTAAAACATACACAAGCAAGGCCATATTGCCAAGTGTCTCCCCTACACATCTCTCTCCATGACGGTGACAGCCACACTTTTTATAACAAGGCAGTAAATGAACCAAACCAGCAGACAGTTTTTCCTATCTTTCTCTCTGCTTGCTACGTTGCACTAATGAAGGCACGTTCATTTGGATTGGTGATTACGCTTACAGCTCTTGTTTTGTGTACTGTTATTAGGTGCGGACTCTGAGGAGTCCTGCAGCAGATGTTTTGTCGTGCACCATGGTCTTGGCGCTTCATGTTACCGGGCATTGGTCTGCCTGACTAATATAATATTTCTTTCAGCTCTGCTGCTGCGTTGAGCTGGAACATTAAGTGGCAAGCTGTTTTAACATTAATGCTATAATGGCTCAGGCTGTACATTGAGCAGATGGTTTTTCCCATCTCTCTCTCTCTCTCTGCTTCTGCACTGCACTAATGCAGGCATGTGCAATTGAATTGGTGCTTCCAACTCTTGTTTCGTGTATTGCTTTTAGGCGCAGACTGTAGGAGTCCTGCAGCAGATGTTGGTCATGCACTATGGTATTGGCACTTCATGCTACCAAGCATTAGTCTGCCCGGCTGATAATATTTATAATGGCTCAGGCTGTAGAGTGAGCAGATGGTTTTTCCCATCTCTCTCTCTCTCTCTGCTTCTGCACTGCACTAATGCAGGCATGTGCAATTGAATTGGTGCTTCCAACTCTTGTTTCGTGTATTGCTTTTAGGCGCAGACTGTAGGAGTCCTGCAGCAGATGTTGGTCATGCACTATGGTATTGGCACTTCATGCTACCAAGCATTAGTCTGCCCGGCTGATAATATTTATTTCAGCTCCGCTGCTGGTTTGAGCTGGAACAAATGAGTGGGCCAGCTCAAATATCTAGAGTAAATTCCTATGGCAAGCTGTTTTACACCTAATGCCATAGTGATTCAGGCAGCAGAGTGAGCAGGGGCTTTTTCTGTCTCTCTCTACTGCTGCACTGCATTAATGAAGGCACATACATTGATTTGGCGCTTATGCTTCCAACTCTTGTTCATGTGACTGCTTTTAGGCATGGACTCTGAGTTCCGCAGCTGACATTTTGTCGTGCAGTATGGTTTTTGGTGCTTCATGCTACCAAACACTAGTCTGCCCGACTAATAATTATTATTATTCTTTCACCTCCGCGGCTGCTTTGAGGTGGAACAAATAGAGGACTCTGTTCTATGAGCTGGCTCTGCGGAGTTTTGCAACACACATTTGTCGTGCAACATGCAGGGTTCGTACACATTTTTACCAATACAATTCCATGACTTTTCCATGACTTTGAGGTAAATATTCATGACCTAATGTTTCATGAAATGCCTATGTATACATGTTAAATAAGAAGAAAAATCCATGTTTTACCACAGCATATTTTTACTAAAATAAATGACAAGCTTAGTAGTTTAAGTTTAGAATACAAAATAACCATTTATTTAAATAACACTTGCACAGTAACACAGTAACATAACATAATACATCAAACCCTGAGAACCCCTTAGAAATGGATTAATGTAATCCATGGTAGATAATTAACAAATCAATAGGAAGCAACAATGTTAAACAAAAAAATAAATAAAAGTGTCCAGCAACATTGTTCTTAACTTTAACTCCCATAAATTAACCTCGCTGAATAACTGTATTTAACAAGTTAACATCTTTATTTGAATTCTACATCCCCTAAAAACAATCAACACTGTTTATTTTTTTTTTTCTGAAAGCTTCTCATCAATCTGTTTTTCAGTTTTGAGCAGAGATGCTTTCTTTTCTTTTGCAGTACGGCGTAAACTGTTGGATTTGGTGATTAAGGTCAGATTGCCTGAAGATTCAGCCTTTTCAGCATATTCATCCGCTGATTTCTCAAGAGCACAAATGTCTGCCTCCATCCTAGCCCTCTTCTTTTTCAAATCTTCCAGCTCATCTGTGAGGGCCTTCCTCTTCAAGTCAACAGCTTGCTGTTCTTTTTCTTCTCTTCATCCAGGTACCCATGGTACTTCTGCCTGGCTCCTGCAGCTGAAAAGAGCAGCTCCTTTGTGATTTCCACCTTGGTTACGCCCACTACAGATCTGATATGGTCAACAATCAGCCTCTGAGCCACCAGAGATATTTCCCTCTGATTCTCAACTATTAATTCTTTGTTGATTGAAAAACCTCTTTCGACGCTTGCCTGCCCATGTGATAAGACAAGAAGAATCTTCACCACATCCCACACTCGGGAAAATTATGGTTTTGTTCCCATTGTCTCATACAGCAATGTGTCCACTCCAGCGGTTTTGGGGTCAAATTCCCTGAACTTAACCTGAAGAGCAGCCAAATCACAAAACTCTAAACTCTCTAAGGATATTGTCGCACGCTGCCTCATTTACATGTTTAGCTTCAACAAGTATGTGCAACATCCTTCTCATCTGAGTTACGCAGAGTACCTTACTTTCAGCCATGCGTCTCGGGTCAAGGCACTGCATGCTTCTCACTAACGTGTGATGCACTGGGGCCTTTTTTAGCAACTTCTCAAGGAGTGTGATCAAGAGTTTCTTGCAGTCCATCTTAATCTCTAGTCCCTGCCTTTCTGAAATGTTTTTGGAAGACTTGAGTTGGTTCAGGGTGGCTTCTGCTGCAAATCCAATATCAATCTGAGAACTGTCCTTGTGCAGACTGCTGTCTTGAAAAGGGACATGGAGGAGCTTTAGAGTGGATGTGGCCTCTTGCAGATGCTTTTCCTTCAGAAATCGCCCCATGATGCCTGTGAAAAATTAAAATTAAGTGATTTTATTTTTCAGTTTGATAACTTAATTTGCAAATTTACAAGCCACATTAAATTTACACATTTATCTTTTGAGCTAAAAACAACTTACATTTGTAATATTTTTTTTTAACTATCAATAAATGTATTAAATTACAAGAATGAACATTACATGAACTGTTAGCTAAAAACAGACCAATAAAATGGTCTAAACAATAATAGTAAAGTAATAACATATTAATTTAACTATTAATTATATATAACTATAATAATAAGTGATCGTGCTGGCGCCTCGCTCAAGTTAATATATTTGGCAAAAAAAAAACTTTGCGGTCTGGTCAGTAGGTGTCGCTTAATTTTTATTTTTTTTAAAGTTCATAGCTCTTTAAAAAAAACGCGTCTCTAGACGGTGTTTTAGTCATTCCACTGCCCTGCGTCTGACGTTTCTAAACACAAAAACGTGCTATTTTAAAAAAAAAAATTTAATATTTATAAATTGTATTTCTATTTTTGTAATAAAAAAAATTATATTTGTGTGCGTTTCTAATTACGGCAGTGTATAGAATTAAACATCATTAGCAATCACACAATCCATGTTTGTCCTTACCTTTAATCAGTTTGTACATATCACCGGAGAGAAAGGGCAGCATGGGTTGGTCAGACTGATACATGGTGAGGAAGGGGTCGATTTCTCTCGCAATGCTGTTGAATATTCCCACTTTTACTGGGAAGAGAGGATCAGCACAGCGCATCTTCACCTCATCAAATGACTTTACTTTTGGATTGGGTAGTTAACCTCTCTCTACCATCTCGATATATTGTTTGACATGTGGCCAGATTAGCAATCCTCTTTCTGACACGTTGACATTCTCAATCCACCGGTGCTTACAAAACTTAAGCATGGGCGTTTTACAACCGGTTGCTGTCCTAAAATCTTCGTGACGGGCAGGGCAATCATGGAACAGCCAATACAAGCTAGAGAGTCCGTGTTCAACTTCCCATCCAGTGGATTTACACCCATCTCTGAACGCATTGTGCAGTATGTGCAACCCGCACAAACCGATGTTAATTAGTGACTTTCCTGCATCTTTCTGCACTTGCTTCTGGAGTATTTCGAATACTTTCCAATTAACGTTCGGTCCGTCCATTGAGATTTGGACATGATTCTTGATTTCAATCTCTGAAAGCAAGTAAGTTATTCATTTTCTCAGCGATGTCTTGAGCTGATGAATGGCCCATGAACTCTGAGCCGATGTATTTGGTCTTCACCTCGGACCCGTTCCATAGCCTGACATGCATGTCTAACTTCTTAGACTGTAAATAGTGATTCAGGCTTTCATCAAATAGTATAACATAGACGCTTTGCTTCGATACATCTGCCAAAGTCAGTTTCTTAAAATAAGGAGCCAGTCCAAAAGTACATAAATATGAGCACTTGCGTTCACCGCATGCAAAGCTGGCTGCTATCTTGCTGTCTGGGAACATAGTCTCAAAAAGCTGGCCTGTGTCTTCACAAGACTTGTAGGAATAGTGCGAATTAGCCACCTTTAGCACCCACAGTACCTCTGCAGTTAGGGTTTCGTTTCTGGACACGGCACTCAAAATGGTCCCTTGTTTTACAGTGGATGAAAGGGAAGCACCGCAGCTGGGAGCGGGTGTCACATTAGTCACACAGGTGAAAAAGCCGGTGATCGGGTTGGGAGTTGTCGAGCATGCAACTGCAGCAGCAGACTGGTGCTTTGCACCTTTAGCATGGCTAGACAGCGCTGCTTCTCCCATGTTTGAAATGTCGAACGTTTTACGGCACAGTGTACATTTTGAATGTCCCGGGTCCTGATCTTTCTCAAGCCACCCCTTATACTTTTCATCATGAAGCCATACATTATTAAATCGCCATTTTCCTGGCATTGCGTGAGTTTACTACACAATACTAGCTGCAACTGCGAGTCGCCGTTACCCCACGCAGAGAAGATCACGTGACGGATCGCGCGAACGTTAACTACTGTAATTTAACCAATATTATCATCTAAAATATATTCAAATATACAGAGATTGTGAAACAAATTTCCATGACTTTTCCAAAACTTAGTGGGTCAATTTATTTTTCCAAAACTTTTCCAGCCCTGGAAATTGTTGTTTTAAAATTCCATGACTTTTCCAGGTTTTTCATGACCATACGAACCCTGAACATGGTTTTTGGCACTTCATGCTACCAACACTATTTACATGACTAATTATTATTCTTGTCATCCCAAATGAGATGCACTGAGCTGAGCTGCTGTGTAATGAGTTTATGTGTAATAGAGCTGTAATCGGGCCTTAAAAGTTAGGCCCGACAGGGCCTGAGCGTGACAGAATTCGGCCCGAGCCCGACAAGTACATTTTGATTGACAGCTTTTTAAAAGCCCGAACCCGTTTACAGTCCGACATTATTCAAATGTGCATCATCTTCCCAGTCAGCTTGCTGTACATTTTCCTCCTCAGCATCCATTTCCCCATCAGGTTCGAGTATTTTCTATGGAAAGCTATTAATGTTCACCATGGTCAGCCTACTTCATGTGATTGATGCGGCGCTTATGCTACCAACACTCGAATTCACATGACTGGCTGCATTATGTGACTGCGGCATACATTATTGTGCGCAATAAATGTTGGACTCTTCATGTTACCAAGCGGTGATTTGCATGACTAATTACTCTGTTCTCGTCCACTCCGCTGTTACATTGAGCAGGAAATTTTGAATCAATGTGGGTAAACTATAAGTGTGTTTGCCTCTTTGTCAGCTGTTCCACGGCTTGTTGTGTTTCAGACTGATTTTGACCGGTCTCCGCACCTTAGCTTTGGGAGCTCGAGAGGATAGCTTTAAAGCTGTTGGTGCAGGGTCTATGTCGGCATCCAAGCTCCCGCTTCTGTGGTTGGCGCAGGCTTGCCTGATTTTAGCATCTATTTCCTGTTTCAGAGGTTTTTCCCGCAACTCCGGTGTCTCTGGGCCTCATGAGGGAGGATCAGTCTGTCGTTTGGTTACACCATCCAACTTCTATGGTGACCCCGTTGTGTCTCCAGGGTGTCTGAGTTTTGAGTTACCTTGACAATTGGCTGGTATTAACGCAATCACATAAACCGTTTGGAGATTCTGGCAGTGTTTCTGGCTCTCAATTGATTTTTACCCCAACTGAGTGGTTGTCACATTTAGATCAGGACGGACAAACGTGGCTGTGGTCTTGTAGAAGAGGACTTGTTTGCTTTGAGCATGACTACGCATTACCCGCCCTGGTTTTCCCTGTCTCCTCTGTCACCTCTGGTGTGGACATTCTGTCCCTAGAGTGACCCAGGACTAGTCTTACTTTCCCGCCGATCGGTTTGCTTCCAGCGGTTCTGTTCAGAGTACGGGTGGTCAGAGTGGAACGTCTGCTGTTTATGGTCCCGCTCTGGCCAACTCAGATGTGATTCTTGGAATTGGTCAGTCTGTTAGCCTCCTTGGGAGGTTCACCTCAGACACGACATGCTGAGTCTGGCTCAGGGCATGATTTGGCACACCCATCCAGATTTATGGGTGTGGCCTCTAAGCGGAGTGCATTAATATGTTCCGGTCTCTCGGCAGACATTTCTGACACTATTCTTAATTCTAGGGCTTCCTCCATGAGACACTTGTATGCCCTTAAGTGGAAGCTCTTGCCTCCTGGTGTAGGCAACACAATCTGGACCCAGTCCATTGTCCTGTAGGCTCGATACTGGATTTTCTTCAGAGTTGTTTTTCTAAGGGAGTGGCCCCTGCCATGGGAGGTGTTTCAGTTGGACGTCACCCTCTGGTTTCCCACTTCACGCAGGGGTTGAGACGGCTTAGGCCATTTCCGCCGGGCACAGATTCCTTCTTGGGACTTATCTATCATTTTGGAATGGCAGACCATCCATTTGAGCCATTTTAGTCTGTGTCAGATAACTTTGACTCTTACGGCGGTTCTTTTGGTGGCCCTATCCTCTTTTTAGAGAATTGGGGATCTGCAGGCTCTTTCTATCAGCCCCTCTTGCATGGACTTTGCCCCAGGGTTGGTTAAGGTCTTACTGAAACCTAGGCCTGAGTACGTTCCTAAGGTTGCTTCGACTCAGTTTCGCTTTCAGCAGGTGGTTGGAGGCTTTCTCCCCTGCTGATGTGGGGTCAGATAGTGATCTTGAAGATCTATGTCTATGTCTGGGCACAGATCAGTGGCTTGGATCTGACCAGCTGTTTGTATGTTTTGGTGGTAAAACAAAGGAGCTGCCGTCACTAAACAGAAAATGTCTCAGTGGATAGTGGAGGCTATCTCTATGGCCTATGAGGTACATGGTTTGACTTCGCCTCTAGGGGTGCATACTCATTCAAAGAGAGCAATGGCTTCTTCTCAGGCTTTCTTTAAAGGGTCTTCTTTGGAAGATATCTGTGCTGTGGCGGTTTGGTCCTCTCCTAGCACTTTCATCAAGTTATACAGTCTGGATGTAAGGATGGCGTCTGGCTCCCGGGTTTTATCTGCTTGAGCAGACTCTTTCCTCGGTCTTCCAGCTATCTTCAGGTATGTCAGGCATTATGGTATAGCATTCCCATAGTGATGATGCCATCACAGCTTTGAGAGAACCTATGAAAGGGAACGTCTTTGTTCCGTATGTAACCTTGGTTCCCTGTATAGGGAACGAGATGCTGCGATGCTGGCCGTTCCCGTACCTTCAATAGCGTTTCCTTCGTTGTGTGGAAATCTGATTAAATAGCGCGCAGCATTTGAGCACATGAGCAAATGTGACGTATGCTCGGGGCAGTGCTAAGCGCTATTGGCCAATGAATTGGCGTGATGGTATAAGGGCTTCAGACATTCGTCACACTGGAGGTGTTTCCCATAGCGATGACGCCATCGCAGCATATCGTTCCCTATTCAGGGAACCAAGGTTACATGTGTAACTGAGACATTCTAATTAGACAGTCACGTAGTCCCTCTACGTCATCATCACGTAGCAAGCGTTATGAGTGAAGTGATAACGCTCTTAGTCTCTTAAAGGGGACACAGCACAATAATGTGATGCATGCAAATACATAGTTTTTTACACCATTCTCTATTTTTAAATTTTCTAATTCTAAATACAATTTTGTATTTATCTTATATTATTCTTATTGAAGTTGTTTAAATTAACATATTTTAAATATACATTTAAATTTGAGTCAGAAACTGACAAAAGATCATGCATGCATATAATAAGGTTAAAAATCTATTTAATGTAGCAAATACACCCATTTAGGTTGCAGAATGTGCAATTTAGATAAAAGTTCACAATATACATCTTGGATGCATTTGTGAGTTAATAATGTCACTGGTTAGGCACATAATATAATAACATTGATAAATCAATAGATATACCCCTGAATCAAATCGTAATCGTATCACAAAATTTTTAGAAGTATTTGCAAATATCAAATCGCTGGCTATGAAAATCGATATTGTATCGAATAATGATAACCTCTCTGATTTACACCCCCACTACATCATACAGTGAGAGTTGATCAAAGATGCCAATTTTGGCACAGTCTTGAGACCAAAGATAGCCTCTGATGTTTTCTGACAGTGTCAGATATGTAACATGTGTGACGAGTGGGGGCGGGGCCGAAAGCCGTGGGAACGGAGCGAGGCCGGTGGAGTAATTGATAATGAGCGACACCTGCACCACTCACCGGTCTCGAGTCCCACGGAGGAGCTCCGGAAGGATAAAAGGAGGAGTTACGACAGTGAAAGAGGAGAGAGGCCTGGTCCTCACAACATGATTGTATGATCTGTGTGCTGACTAACCAACAAAATGCAGCATGAGATTAAAAAAAACTACTGACCTCAAGATCTTTTCACCGCACTCTTTCACCGTTTCCTCTTCTTTTCAGCACACATAAAGAAACTTACTGACAAAGTGCAATTCATTGTGCAACTCAACTTTTATTTGTTTACCAAAGCACATGCTGCTGATGTTTTATTCTTCTATAAAAGCTTGCATCGTAGCTGTGAGTCAATAGGTGTCATCTTCGTGCAATCTACACATATCGAACCCAAGTTTATTAGACCCATTTCGCATAGTGTGATTGCTAATGATCTTATAGGATCGCTAAAATCCCACATTCTGTAACAGATTTTAGAGGATCCAAAGACAAGCTAAGTGCTTCTGAAAAGAATAGAAGCTCCTGGCAAAAGTTTGATGCACTCATGCAGGAGCACTTGGCTAAAATCAAAGATGGAAGTACACACACATCTGCACTACTATTTTGGTGGTTCATAGCAAATTGAATGTATTGTTGCCTGTGCTAGATAGCTTGTCAAATATGGATATTTGTTTTTTTTTTGAAAGGTCAACCGACTGCAGAGCCAGCTGAATCCAATGGAAAAAAGCCAGAGGAAGATAACGTGTGTGCTGATCCCGAACCCTGTCTGTCTCATGAAGGTGACATTGAGGAGCCAATCTTGATGCGCCAATCTCTCAGATTGAACGCTTTAACTTGGTCAAAACCAGGTATGCCCAGTGATGCTAAATCTGAATTATAAAAAGTCCAACAACAAAAAAGAGTTTGTACTGTTTGTACTTGAAAAACTTTCTGGAAAAAATAAACATTAAAAAAAGAAAGCTTAAATTCTGAAAAAAGTAGAAAACGTAACTTAGCATTTTTATTTTTATTCCAGTTTTCATTATTAAAAAACTACAAAATTGTAGTTGTTGTATCATAGTCTGTAGTATAGTTTTTCTCTTGTACCTCTTATACCGTGGTCTGTCTGAATTTTGGATTCTGATTGGCTGGAAGGTGTCCAACAAAACCGTGTAATGCACAGGTAGTTCCAGTCAGTTTATTCACAGTTCCATGTCAATGCGCTACTTTCATTCAAACACACACACACACACACACACACATACACACAGATGAGCGATTGCACTGCGCACACACATATTCAGGAGCACAGAAACTTAATTGTTATTAATGTGCCCTGTGACTATTTTAGTAATGAAATAACCTTACTACTGAACACAGGCGCCGTAAGGGGGGAGGGGGTTGGTGGGGGAGTTGGGACGATTCCAAGTGCCCGACAACGGAGGTGGCCCCCCCCCACCACCTCCGTTGAACACGATTTTTACCAAGGGGGGACCAGCCCCCCACCCCTGAACACGGGGGCCTGAGTGGATATGCTGCTCAGGGGGCCCAGAAACCGTAGCAGCGCCCCTGCTACTGAATAGGTAGGTTATATATTTCAGCATCGAGGGAGTTCAGCATTTTTTTTTGGGATCAGTGTGTGTCCTGATTGATCATGTGATATCTTTAATTATCATGTGATTCCTCAAATTAAGATGGCTCCTAGTTCTAACATTGTTAGCTTGGCATTGAAAATGGTCAACATGTGACCGAAACGTTTGCCTTGTTTCACTCAGTAAATTGCTTATATTGTTTTCATCTGGCTTGTGACTCTTTGATGTTTGAGTGTGCAGACTTTTTTGAAGCTCTTCACCTTTGGGAAACTTTTTTTGGTCTACGCACCTCAGTTGGATTATTTTGAGGGGCATTATTTCAGAGGGGAGCACGATATGCTTTTGAATAAATATCGTTGTATCGTGCAGTGCACATTCTATCAGCTGCAGCCTGCGTGCTTGTATATTAGATGCGTGCCGGTCTTAAAGGGACAGTAGGCTACATGCTGCTGACTGTAATTAAAGGGATAGTACACCATAAAATTACATTTCTGTCATTATTTATTCACTCACATGTTGTCTCAAACCTATATTAATTTATTTTGTTGTGCTGAACACAAAAGAAGATATTTTGAAGAATCTGGGTAACCAAACAGTTGCTGGACCACATTGACTTTGATAGTAGGAAAAAAAAATACTATGGAAGTCACTGTAGACCAACAACTGTTTGGTTTTCCACCTTCTTCAAAATAGCGTTTATGTTTAGCAGAAGAAGGAAACTCATTAAGGTTTAAAACAACTTTTGAGTGAGTAAATGAAGGTATAAAAATAAAACACTAGCCTATTTAAATTTTTGGGTGAATTATTCTTTTAATAAAA